TGAGCGTTTCGTACAAGGTGCAAAGAAAAACCTTAGAGAAGTTCGCTATGAACTCCAAAACATAAATGTAAAGGGCGGAGGGGCAAGATAATCGTAATGTGTCGCGTCGTCGTGCGCGATGTACCGTGTGGCGATGCGCCGCAAATTCCCGATGTGCATTATTAGTTTCTCAAAAAATCAGCGAACCCTCGTATGAATTCTAGCTGAGACAACATTCCATGACAGGCGATATGAAATTTCCCCGCCCCACCACAGAAATTCAAACGGCCGCAGCCACTGGTCAATCCGTCTGTGGGGCGCGGCGATGCTTGCCACGCCCATATAACGATTGTCCTTGGCGCATGCTTATGTAAAGAAGGGTGGAAAATTTTCAGGTTCCGTTTAATCGCACAGTTCATTGAAATCGATGGCTCCGAAACATCCACCAGTCATTGCCCCGAGTCGCCCACCCCTATTTTCAACAAACATTGAAAGTTTACTGCTTGAAAAAAAAATATATCACGGTTGCTATTCAAATAATATTTCGAATTTAGGGTGTCCGTTAATGCCTCTGACGACTGTTATGCGCCATCAAATACCAGCACTTCTTTGTAAAAATGTATTCTAAAGTTGCTTGTAGGAGCATATCATCCATGTTTTATTATAATAAATCTCTATGTTTAGTAGTTCACATAAATGGAATAATAAAGCTTACAATTAACCATTCTCCGAGTTAGCCGTAAGAACAGGGTAAAAAAAATCAGAACAGATTCCCTACTATAGAATCAGCTGCGTCAGCAGCTTTAGAGAGTTTGTTTCAAAATGTGGCATAGGGGGTGGGATAGGAACACTAGTGGTGGATGAAAAGGACTGAAAGCTGCTGATAAGGTTCGATAAGGGACGTGAGACGGTAAAGTCAATGTATTCGTATTCACAGCCTGGGTCCCAGTATCAGCGACGCGTTGGTTCCAGCAAAAGACGTAGAGTGTGAGGACATCAACAGTGGCTGAAAAAAAAGCGATAAGAACTGATAACGGCCTATAAGGGACGTTGCGGTCGTCGTCTTGCCCATAGTGACAGAGCTTATACATCACCAATTATGAAGATTTAGTGATAGGGACGTCGATGACGGGTGTCAAGTGATGATATCAATTGATAAGGATAGATAAAATTATCTTTCACTACATTTCATACTGTTTCTTACCACTATTTATCAAGTGTTAGAGGCTCAGTGGGTGAACTTTCATTTAGCCATCGCCTTTCAGCTGTCAAAAAGACCATAATCATTCATTGAACTATGTGCACTTAGACGCACTTAGGACAGAGTACAGCATCGCTGTGTGAAACAAAAGGGGATCTTACTTTTCGGCTGGGTAGGGAGGTCGTATTTGCTCGTTGTTGGAAAAGGGGGGGGGGGTCGTATGTCGCCTTCTGACAGAAATTTGCCGCGTTGGGAAAAAATTTCCCCGTTGTTGACTTTTCGCGTGATTTTTCCTGTTTCATGTGTACTATTACCCCTCTCCCATCCGGCTCGACAGCAAATTTTTAGGTGAAAAACTGGAAAATGTGGGAGTTGCTAGATAGGTGCTGGGGAACGGGGGGGGGCAGATCGAACCGAGGCCCTCACTTAGGTGGGGAGGGGTCGTACCAAGACACTCCCTTAGGAAGGGGGTCGTACTGGCACCACCATTTCACACATCACGATGCTGTACCCTGACTTAGGATGTTGCGTGAGGTAGGCAAGGGAAGGGAGAATGTGGTACATTGTGCTCTGAAACGGGAAAATCTAGGAATCGACAATCAAAAACTTTCTCTGAAGTTGGCTGTTTCAATAACGATGAAGGGCTGGGAGCT